GAAAAGAACTTTCTTCGCAGTAACGTTAAGAGCGGTGTTCTTCAGTCATCCGTTGATCTGCAGTAGCCTTCAGGACGAGAACTTGTATATCTGATCACTTTTATGTTCACCTGTTGCTGTAAAGCCAGTCAGGTACATTCGTTGTTCGACGCATATCTTGTTCAAAAGGATTCGAGAACACTATCCCACAGCATGTCCACAGAAACGTAGTAGTGGCTCTACAAGGAGTGTGATCATCATCGAACACCTTGTCAGCAACAACACTAACCATTTCATCTCAACAAACGCCTCCTCCTACTTCAAAGTAATCTACACACAATCAATCAAGAATAACCTACCAAAGGTAATGAGCTTTCTTCGTCTCCTTTGTATTGCTGAAGGTGTTAGCCATTCATCACTTGGGAAAACCAGAGTTATGTTGTATACAAAGGAAAATCATTCAACCATTGCTGCTGCTACTACCGTGGAAACATCCATATTGATTTGTACTCACTTGATGTTTGGGTGCTTGGTTTTATTTCCTAACTCCTTAGAACTCTTGTATTTGTTCAGCTAAGTGAGTGAATTCGCCGCCAAAAAGAGACTCTTCGCTGAACTAGGTGTCTTGTTTTTTACTTTTCACCTAATTTCCAGCAAATTAAAAGCTCCAGCACAATTCTGCACTCATTAAGTCGCATAGAACTATCTTGCTTCGACCTCTCGAAGAATTTGGTCTACAACGCAGTATATATATAGTGGTTATCTTGGAACCGCGTATAGCTCTCAAACTCCCACCAACACCTACAGTACCTGCATATTAATTTCAAATAGAACAATAGACAGGACTTACAAGAAACATGGAAAGCCTCAATGTTTATATATGTTGAATCATGGACACCTATAAACACAAGACGCCAGTGAAGTGATCCGAATATCGCCATCATCTATAAGTCCCGTCTACGTGTACTATGTCCACTTTTATTGTCCTGAAACCTCGTGGTACTGGCATCCAGCTTAGCTGGTGACGATGACGCACTAAACACCAGTGCCTGGTCTGCATTACTCCACTTGATCCTCAGTAAACAATCATTTATGCCTCGTCAACACTAAATAGCCACCAGAGAAGCGCTGCCTAATCGTCATCTCTGTTTATGCGAATCTTGACGGCTTGCAGGCCTGGATGCAATTAAATTCTCTAAAGTGAGCGCACTGACTTGATATCAAGTTATTCAGAGATAAAGGATACTGTTTCCCTATTAGCTGACAGATATCCTAGTGATAGGTGAAGGAATTCAATGCACAGGTCAAGGAGGTCTACTTGGTCGTAGGTCAGATAATACGGAGCATCCCCTACAACATCGCAAACTATTTCGTGCCAACACCAAATTCCAGCACAACCATCACTGTAATGCTAATACCACTGGCATCCTCTCTTAAACATACACTCGAACCGACAGGCATTGCTATCAGCTACTGGCAGCGTAGGTGTATATGCACGACTGTTGTTCCCTCTAAAACATATGTCTGGATTCTCATCACAATTTAGCATGTAGCAGATTCATCTTGTGAGCTGGTGATCAGAGACATCGACCTCAACAGGTTGACACAAGTAAACTAAATTGATAGCACCGAATACCTAATGCCAAGTGCCAAACCGAGTTTCAGTCTATTAAGAGGGTTCGAAGAGGAAGAGAAGTGGAATTTCCAAAGAGGGATGACTTTAAGAATCATTCACTAATCCTGGATGTCTGCATTTTATCTCGCGTGTTCAGTGGTGGGATAATAGGGTGAGCAATATTGAGGTTAGACATCGAGCGAATTACAATCAATGAGAGTGTGAACCTACGTCAATTGAGATGGTTAGTATATGTGTTACTCACGCATGCCTGACTGCCTGTCTGCCTAGCCATCGCCTTCCTCGACGACGGGCGGGGCGATGTTACCCACTAACTGGCATAGGATGGATGAATCAGATTGGAAAAGAGTTAGTTAATGGTCATGGTGGTCAAACCAAAACATGGTTTCATCGCCAGTCAATGAAATCCACAACAGTTAGTTTAGGCCAGCCACCACGCCGGCCATTCACGTAGAGAGGTGTAGACTGCCTGACTGGTTAACTGCCTGGTTGGGGTCCTCGTGATGGTGATGAGAACCAAGGAAGGCTGAAGACAACTGGTGATATGGATGCCTCAAAATCGTACTCGGTGATGCCTAGCGCTGGCGCAGATTCATTCACTCTTTGTGACCTATGACATATCATAAAACTCTACTGTTCTTCGGTATTACTATTCTTTTTGCTTCACATTTCTGCTCATTATTGTTCTTTCGAATATCTTTTATGCAAAGTTATATTATAACAACCAAAACCACAGTGACCTTGAACCAACCAATCACAATTCAGACACAAAAAAGTCACATAATTGTTGGAAAATGTACTACAAATCACTACAAACATGACATTCCACTATATAGTTGTCGCGTGTATGTTGTAACAATGCCTTTCAGTTACAATACAGACGATAATCTATCTATAGAGAAATCATGCCATGCATGATATATGCATTCATCCGGGTGACTAGATATACTGGTACTATGAGACCCATTGATATTTCTGACACTGATCTTCAATCTACTCCTAACCGTAATAACCATAACCCTAATTCTTACCTTGACCCTAGACCTAAAAAAAGCTTAAAAGCCATTGAGTGGCGTGTGCTACTGATAAGATTTACCAGTAGTATATGAAGATACATGCATCGGCATAAAAACATTAAGTAGCAGGAAAATACATTTGATGTCAGAGAAAGCAAATGATACAGTGTCGCGGGAAAGTGTCGTGGGAAACGTGAAAGGAACACAAAGAAACACAATACAAAGGGGGAGGGGAACAGAAGTAGCACAACACGGAAGATCTGTGCAAATGGTGCGTTGAAGATTAGGTGTACATAACTTCATCATACAGAGATACCAAATTCCAAAATAAACATTCCTTTACCAAGTCTCCAATCTTCCAACCATTACAAAAAACCCTACCTAACAGCAAAGATTTACAGAGAAAGTACCTAGTAAATAAGTACACTAGTGTATCTACCCTCTACAAATTCAAAATGGCTGGTAGGATTTGGTTTGGGATGACTTTTCCCTGCCAACTTTTGACAGACTTTGACTCTGGCTATGATACTTTAACTTCGCCCCTTTTTGTCTTCCTTAGCGTGACAACTCGAACTGGTGCAGTTGTCCGTGCAAATTTCTATGTCGAATCCAGTCAGATAGAAATTGTAAATTACCGATTTTGACAGCCAACCTACCAGACCATTACGTCACAGGCGAAGTTGCAGTATTATAACCAAAGTCAAGGTCTTTCAAAAGTTAACCTTCAAGAACAGATGAGACATAGGGAATGATAAGAAATATCATTCCGAATCAAATCATTTCTGCCTTTCTGCTTATTTACTAAGTATCTTTTCTGCATATCTATACTGTTAGGTAGGGTCATCATGGCTTCTAAGATTAAGGTTTAAGGTCGAGGGTTGAGGTTAGGTTTAGGAAAAAAAAATTTAGAATTAGCAGTTAAGATTATGGTTAGAGTTAAGAGTAGGTTGGAGAATAGCGTCAGAAATATCAATGGCTCTCAAAGCACCATGACCTACAGTCACCTGAATGCATGAGTATATCGCGCATGGTGTGACTTCCTCGACGGGCAACGTTAGCTGATATAGGATTGGTCAGGCTGGAAAAGAGCTAGCGGTGGTCAAACGAAAACATGGCAACAGTTAATGAAATCTACAACAGTTAGTTTAAACCAGAAACGTAGGAAGGTGTAGACTTCCTGACTGGTTGGGGTCCTCGGGACGGTAAAAACCAATGTTTGGAAACAATTGGTGACATGGCTCAAAATCGTTCTCAATGGTTGGCGCAGTTAGATGCATCCACACCTTGTGATTTATGATTTCAAATGAAATTGTTTTGTTCTTCGTTATTACTATTCCTTTTGTCTCACCACACCTCTGTTTACTGTCTCTAATATACATTTCTCCTACTTTCTTCGCTTGCTTTGTGTGCTACAAGGAGGGAGTGTGGCGACTTGAACTGCCGCACATAAGTGCAAAGTTCCACGTCGAAAACAGAGACAGATTTCTCTACACATCATATATGTATTGACTGGGAGATATTCGCGCAACCCATAAGCTACAACTATACAGCGTAATACGAATTAAGTGATATGAGACTTTTGTGCATCTGGATTGTGATTGGTCGTTCAAGGTCACTGTGGTTTTGGCTATGATAGTCTAACTTTCGACTGGATAGTAGTCAATAACTAATGTAATGTGTTTAGTCCCATCTTTGGGGCAGACTAAATTCTACCAGTCAAGTTTGCAATGTGGCCACAATGCCACTAGGTGACTGACTCGCCATTACGGTGCACTGTGAATCGCTCATTTTAGATGGTTGGAGGCAATCGGCCGCCACAGAAAGCCTTGGACCTAGGTTTCGTGCTAGTTGGCACTCGTCAGCAAGGCATGTACCTGCAATCTCGAAGGAACTCGTGTCCCTTTTGAGATTCGAACTCGTATCAACTAGCACGAAAACTAGGTGCAAGGTGTTATATATCATCATGGTTGCTTGTCAGCTGTTATATTGTGACCAGGTATGCTATTTTTAGTAATAATAATAACCCTAATCCATTTTTAGCCAAAAATATTTATGAGCAAGAATGATTGTTATTATTTAGTTCAATTAAATTAATAAGACCCGTTCCGCAAGAACGAATTGGCTGTTGTGGGCCAAGTGGCCCATTGGATAATGCTTTGACTGGCGTTTAAAACTATGGGCACAGAGTCCAAACCCGCGTGGTGAGAACACCATCACTAACTCACTCAGTGTGGAGAATGCAGGTACATCCACTAGTTGAAGAGACTCAAGTAAGACGAAACGCGCGTTATCCTGGTGGATTCCACTGCACAAAGTCAGTCACTAACCACCTAACCATCAAATGAATAATTGTTTGGTTTAATGCTTACTTTATGTTTACACTTCTCCTTGGATTGATTCTCTTCTGTACCAATTAGACCCAAGAAAGTACCTGTTGACATTAAACCATTGCAAAATGAATCAATCAGCTGTGACATATCTTGCTTAATCTTTGGAAGACTTGGCAATTCTGGCGGTAAAGCTGTCAGATCTGAAATTTAAAACAAAAAAAGAGGAACAACGATGATAAAATTTGCTGGGTGGACATGACATTTAGTAATACCAGCTTGTCTGATTTCGTGCATTATTGATTCTCTTCAACTGCTGCCTGCATCCTAAACACAATCAAATTATGAGTTACAAAATGGTGTCTGAACATACTTTTTACAATTACCTCAAGTGTTGCAGATAGAAAAAATAGACAACATATTTCCAAAGGTGATGTAAGTATGTGGTGAGAGCTGTCTACTAGCCGAATTGGTAGACAGTAATTTACGTCAATGTTTACGTTCCCAAGATTTGTCGTGAGAAAATATGAACAAAGACTGATTCAAAAACCGACCACAGCAGACTTTGTGTAGGCGGATACAGTTAGCATATGGATGATCTGACATTCAAGAAACAGTCACAAAGAGATGAAAGATTAACTAACGTTCAGTGAGAAACAACCACCAATCAGAGGACTGTGTTTGTTTGCTTAACTAATCTATAATAATGTACATGAAAATATATAAATATGCTTTGATTTCCTTAATAAACGATCTGTTGCCTGGCCCTTGTCTTCTGTTGTTACAAGTAGACAATTATTTTGTGTTAAGAGTAACTATTTATATGGTAATTAGACAATGGGATAGACTTCAGATTTCTCTCGGAAACAAGAATGGACTAGAGAGAACAGCCTCTACAAGATTCTACAAGCATATACTGAAAAATTTTCGTTTGAAAGGCAGCCAAGCGTTCTCAAGTGCAATCGCCAAACACCTAATTGACCGACACACAGGACATACATAGTGGAAATTAGCCTGCAGGCTTTCAAAGTAATCAATACACAAAGAAAAGCATGGCTACTTCGGTTCACAGAAGCCACCGCCATCAAAAGACTTCGCCCCAATCTATGCATATAGAAGGATAGTGTCACTAATCTCTCACTACCCTATCTGGTAACCGTAATTATTTTGTTCCTGAGCTTTTGTGTTTTGTTTTGTCGTGTTGCATAAAATTCCATTCAATTTCCGGTTTGATTTTCACTCACTCACTCATTCACTGAGTTGAACTCACTACTAAGTTCCCAAATCTACCAAAATTAAATTATTTCACCTATTTTGTAATTTTAATTCACTATTCACACATACACACACCCTCCTCAACTCTCTACCATCATACGTGCAAATTCACTCTGTTGTTCTATCTTGTATTTTGTCTCTAATCCACCCCTGTTTCCAAGAGAAATCTGAAGTTTACCCCCTTGTCTAATCGCTATATAAATAGTTACTCCTTTAACACTAAATTATTGTCGACTTACATCATCTTTGAAATTAAGTTACCCCTATACTTTCTATGTATAACACTTGAGGTCATTGTAAAAAGTATGTTCAGACACCATTTTGTAGCTTAGAATTTGATTGTGTTTAGGATGCAGGCAGCAGTTGAAGAGAATCAATAATGCACGAAATAAAATGAGCTGGTATTATCAATCTATTGACAAGGTTATGAGGCAATTACATCAACTGAGATGGGTGGTTAGGACATGTGTTGCTCACGCATACCTGCCTGCCTGCCTAGCCATAGCCTTCCTCGACGACAAGCGGGGCAATGTAAGCCACTGACTGACAAACGATGGATGGATCAGGTTGGAAAGCAGTTAGCTAGTGGTGGTAGTGGTCAAGCGAAAACATGACTTCATCACCAGTCAATGAAGTCGACAACAGTTAGTTTAAGCCAGCCAACCAACCAGCTAGCATTCACGTAGGGAGGTGTTGACTGCCTGGTTGGGGTCGGTCCACGGGACGGTGGTAAGAATCAATGAAGGCTGGAGACAATCGGTGATATAACTAGTTCAAAATCGCTCGTGCGTCGGTGGCATAGCGGTTAAGGCGCTCGCCGACCATGCATATGGTCCGGGGTTCGATCCCCGGCCGACGCACTCCTTTACCTCGCTAAGCCAGAAATAATGCTGGTGAAGAGGGAAGGTTGGGCATGAGGCTAGCAACCCCATCCTGTAAAATAAACACTGCTACAGAAACTTCAAGCCACTAGCTTAAAGCCTAATAATCCACTGGGGAACGTGAAGGAGAAATTAAAAAATTAATAAAATAAAAATGGCTCGGGGTGATGGCTTGCGCTGGTGCAGATGCATTCGCTCTTTATGATCTATCATATACAATAAAACTCTATTGTTCTTCAATATAACTATGCTTTTTACCTCACTCACTGCTGTTTACTATCTCTATCTCTCTTTTGAATCTTTCTTCACTCTTTTCTCTCACTTCGTATGCTACATTGAGGGAGTGTGACAAGTGGAACTGGTGGATATCTGTGCAAAGTTCTACGTTGAAACCAATCAGTTAGTCAGTGAGCCCATAGACTCTCACCACCTCCTTACACAATCCCCTCTAATTTCACCAATGGACCAAGGTTGAATGGACGACTTCCTAAATTCATTTATATAGTTCCATAAGAGAGAATATAAGCCATCTACACTTCTACCATGTAAGGAGGGGACATCTCAGACATTCCCTACGTAGGATTCTCAATAGAGCAGGAATTAGAGTGGTGGCATTCAAACCTACAAACTCACTCAGCTAGGACAAGCTCTCTAGGTTAAAGGACCCAGTTGACTCAACTAGACAAAATAGTATAATTTACAAAATACCCTGCAATGACTGTGAGTAGGTCAACTACATAGGTCAAACTAGTAGGTCAGGGGTAGTTAGATTGTCAGAACATAAGAATTTAGCTAAGGTAAGAATGGTTGACCCAGAGAAGATAAGTAATTTAGAAAAAAGCTCAGCAATTGCAATGCATGCATTAACACAAAACCACACAATAGGGTGGGAGAGGGATAAAATTCTAATAAGTAATCTAGGTAGGTGGAGAGAGAGGTTGATTACTGAATCCTTGTTCATCGAATCTACACCCAACACATGCAATAGGAATGATTCATCACTCATACCCGAAATATGGAAAGGTAATACTACCAATCAAATCAAGTGAAAATCAATGGAACTATATAAATGAATTTAGGAAGTCGTGTGATTACCTTGATATGATTATGAGCAATAAATTGTGCTCGAAACATCATCAGTAAACATTATTGTATAACACTGTGAGACTTTATCAAAACAAAATTTACCCATAATGGAATTACACTCTACCACAGTGCACAAGTTTTATTCTTATATCAATGATACATATGGTCTTCCAACCATTTAGAAGTCATACTTAGTTAACAGACCGGTCGAAATAAAAATTGAAGTCAAATCGGATTGGAAAATTATCATCCTTCCTACATGTTCACCTTTCACAAGGAAAAGGTAGAACACTGCATAGATCAATTTCGAATTCTTCGGAATTCCGCCACCCGTGAAGCACTGAAAACGAACCCATAGACGGCAGCAGATATGATAATGCGATTATTGAAAGAAGTTTGGAAGGAAGGGAGGAAGGAAGAAAAGCAGCCAACTGATTGGAAGAAAGGCTGGAAGGTCACCTTGTCAAGCTACCAGAGAAGGGCGACTTAGGCTTCAATCAACAAGTACTGGAATAGTGGAATAGTGCTCTAGTCCACCCATGCCAAGTAAAATACTAAGTCACGTCATCCTGGAGAGAGATTAAAAGATACACTGGATGCAGAAGTCTGCCAGACCCAGTGGAACTGGTTGGATTTAGGAAAGGCAAATCATGGGCTGATCAAATTGCTACTCTACGCATCGTCAGCGAACAAAGGAGCGTTGAACGGCAGTTAGATCTCTCTCTCTATCTACCTCAACTTCGTCGATTTCGGGAAGGCCTTCGACAGACAGCCTTGAATTGTTTCAAATTAAATAGCTTCCTGTCGGACATCAGTCAGTGGTCCAAACTAAATGGTCTCATGCTGAATCCCTCAAAATGCCAGACTATTGACTTCTTCCTTAGGCATAAACGTGATCTACAAACACTAGTAAGTTCTCATGAAGACTGTTGCATTGAGGGGACTAAAACTGAAACTAAGTATAGTGCAAAAAATAGTTCTGTCTTCCAACCTTACTTGGACATCTCATATCCTAACGATTTCTAAGAAAGTGTTCTGTCTTACCTACTACATTAAGAAACTTAGACAATCTGGAATCACCCAACCTCTACTTTCACAATTTGTCAACTCTTGGATCTTACCTATTCTACTTTACTGCTCCCCGTGAGTCTTTCCTGGTCTACTGAAAAAGGACTATACCATTCTGAGAAGGATGTTGAAGGTAGTCAGTAGGACTAGTGGGGTAAAACTTAGTCAGCTCGTCACTACTTTAGTTGATAGGCATCTGAATACATGCGAAAAATGGTCTAAAACCATACTCTCCGACCCCCCAACACCCCCTATATTCCCAACTCTCGCCTTGTATCTCATCAAGTAGAACCAGAAATCAGTATAAAATAATTTATGCTCGTACAACCAAGTACAGGAACTCAACGATACCATATTTGGCCCGTGTTCTAAGTGACAGAGACAATGTTAAGCGCGAAACCTATGACTTGCTTTGTTGTTAATAACATAATTTTAAGCTCTTTTATTTCTCTCTTATTTTGTTTTCTGTAGTGAACTCCTTCTTAAATACACTTAGCTACCTAAATTATTAACATTGCTTACTTTTTTGTACTTTACTCTATTCCTTCTTTTGTGTATCTACTGGTTCCGACTATATCACCACTATGAGTATTACGAAATTGTCCTGTCATTAACCATCATGTTATTATAAGTTTTTGTGGTTGTTGTTTTTTTGTTCGGCAATATTAACTGACAATCTTGGTTGTGAACGCCATTATCACCACTTTAAAAATTTTGTATTATGCAGGATTACTCACACTACCACTACAAACACTGCATTAGACCTGACAATAAAAAACAAAACAACAAACCCTGAAATGTTACTTTATGATTGTTTAGAGTTGTTTCAACCAAATTAACTGACCATCTTGGCGATAATGATTCTTAAATATCATTTCATAACTTCTTGTATGACTATAGCTTTACTGTCACCATGCATAATCATATCATAGCTTCCACTACCTAATACTGAGTTATTATTAAATGCTGTTTATTTTTCTTTCTACTTCTTGGTACTTTTTCGCATTTATAATTATTTTTGTGCTTATCCTGTTTGTTTGGTTTTTGCTGTTGGTGTCTTCAGATTTATTTTTTTGTTTGTTTGTTTAATACTCCTTTTAAATGTTTGATAAAATTAGATGCAAATATTGTAGATGTGTGCTGAAAATTCCACACTGTACCACTAGTACTGCTTCTAGAATAAGGCAAATTATTATTATTATTATTATTGACCACGATGTAATTTGGAAACTACTTCAACACTACAGTGTGCAGTGCCCAACTCTTTATCAACCTCAGTCAACAAATGGCTATATGACAATGCCACGTGTCAGGTTTTCCACAAGGGAAAACTCAGTGAAGTGAATACAAGGGTAAGACAAGGCTTGCTGGCTGGCTGGCTGCCTGCCTGCCTATTATCACCAACGATGATATCCCTGATAGTGGCAGATTGGATTATGCGTAAAACTGTGTGTTGGAAGTGAGTGAGAAGACAGGAATACGCTGTACTTACCAATAACAAGACTCTAGCAGATCGGGATTTCACGTGTGGATGATTTATGTCATTGAATGTCACACAAACACAAACTCGAAGACTTGGAGGCAGGCAAAAACTGCCTACAAACTGGCTGAAGAGGCTGGCTGGTTGGCAGCGAAGATAGGACTGATTCCATCCAGGTGATGAACATAGAGAAAGTGGAGACGGAGGTGGTGGAGATAACCAACCAACCAACCACCACCACCAACAGCAACATCAGTAACAAACAGCACCAGTCACCATCAACGGGAGAAAGAGGTTGACAGCGGTTATTACCTGCCTTAACTTATCTAGCCTAGTCGGCCAGCATCATTTCAACCATAAGCAGTCGCAACGGATCAAGATGTCAAAACCAGCCCGCCAGCCAGAATCGGAAAGACAAGCAAGATACGCCTTCGTCAACCTGAAACCAGTTCGCAAATCTTCTGCTTCACTCCGCCTCAGCTAGCATAAACAACAAAATTCGCATTTTCAACACAAATGTCAGTGAAGTCAGTTAGTGCTTCTACATGTGCTTGCGTCACAAAAAAGACTTCCATCAGGTCACTGCAGACTTTTATCAATAGCTGCCACCTTCGATGGCTGGCTGGCTCCATACTCAAGATCAAACGGTCAGCCAGAACCAATTACCAACAAGAAACTCTGACTGGCAATGACCGAACCTAACTAAGAGCCACCGATTTCTCAACAAATATGTAGCAGAAAATGGAGATGGATTGATCGGACATACGCCGAGGAAGAAGACCGACGAATCACATCGCACCAAACGCAGGCTATGGGCTCGAGTGGAATCTCAATGAGAAAAGACGACTGGGTGGTCGGTGCTGTCGTGTGGTGGCATGGAGGAGATTGCGTGAGTTTGAGGTGATGATTGATTATGCGCAATCAATCGTGGGGCAAGCCAGCTGAAGAGGACAGCAGAGAGAATAGAAGAGAGTGTGTAGATATGTTGCTGAAGCTGTATGTTCCACTCGGAACCCAAAGGAGTAATAGTAATAATGCTGCATCACATACGGAAAAATTCTGATTATCCTGTTCCGGATATCATTTAAATAATTTAACCTGAATAATTATTTTTATTCCTGATGTTATAAGTTTTATTCACTTTAAACGCAATCGCACTTTCACACACCCACAATCTATGAATCCGTGATATTAGATGGTCCGAGGGAATCGGAAGGAAGCCTCCAACCATCTATCTGCACTGTGATGGCAAGCCGCCACACTGCAAACTTCACTGAGATGACAGAATTCAGTCTGCACACACTGCACACCAGTAGTTACTAATTACTGACGAATTAAAATCTCTAGAATTCGCCGATTCAGTTTAAATTAAAGGAAGCCTATATTAAAATTTCCGCGTTGACTATACACGCGTTCACAATTGAAAAGTTCTTACCCGACTCATCAGTTTCATTCCCAGTTGGCTGTTGTTGCTTGACTGTTTTCTCTTCGATATCCGGTAGCAGAAATTCATTAGGATCGATATTTTTCACTGTATTTGCAGCCGCTGTAATATGATCACGGAATGATGAAGCAGTACGGTACACAACGTCTTTCGGTTCTGATACAGAATGAACAACTTCACTGAAATCTTGTTTTATTTGCTCCCACACCTAGACAGAATATTTTTCAACACAAAGTGAAGAATAATCAGATGACTGTCAATCAAAGAACATGATTAGTTGAATGATAGGTAACAATAAAAACTGTATATATATATATATATGTATATATATATATATATATATATATATATATGATATCCTCCTCCTCACACACACAATCTCCTCTATGTCACCCTCAGACATACCCAACTCCTCGTTTCCCACTCGAGCGACAGTTTGGAGCTCGATGTCACCCAACGGTCCCCTCAGCGTAGGTCCAATACATCTCCATTTGCCTCGGAATATCTGTTTGACCTATAGGTTCTTGATTGGTTGGTTCCCCGATTCCCTTACTGCCAAATTCTTACCATCAGCCTCTACTAATCTTCAGTTTGGAGCCAGAGAAGGCAGCTACTGATAAAAGTCTGCATGCAGTAGCCAGTTCGAAACGCTTTTCGTGACACATCAAGTCTCCTGCCGATATAGCAGTGATTTAACATTCGTAGTGAAAATCCGAATCTTGTTCTTTAATGCATAGTGTAGCAGATCTCCAGACCGATTTCAGAGTGACGAAGGTGTGTCTCACCTTTCTGATGCTTGCTGATTTTAACATCCGCACCAACGGCGTCACCTGTAATTGAAACGATAGTGCTTAGAAGACAAGTTAAGGAAATGACCCCTTTCAAATTGGTGCTTGTTGTTGTTGTCGTCGTCGGTTGGCCATCTTCATCACCTCCGTCGTCTCTATGTTCGTTCACTTGAAGTCCTTTTTTCGCTGCCAGCCTTTTCTGCCAACTTATTGATTTGCACCTGTAGACCTCCGGAGTTTGTGTGACATTACCTATAATATTATCTGCAAAGTCCAGACCTTTTAGAATCTTCCCATCGGTCCAACATATCCCTATCTTCCCTCTCTCTCCCTCTCGCCAAAATTTTCCCCACAATCCAGTCCACCACCATTGGGAATATCATCGTTATTGATAGTAGTCAGTCTTCTCTTATTCCCGTCTGAACTTCAAAGATCTCACTGAGTTCACGAATGTGGATCACTTGATATGTACCATTGTCATGTAGTTGTTGAATCAGATTGATAAAGATTTCAGCCGCGGGCGGTGGGCACAATTTATTCAATTAGTTAGTATTTTCCTAATAAAATAATGTTTAAGTGCTCCTGTGGAGTGAGCCAGTTACTTGCATAGGCCGTACACAATTAGGCGTGTTTCTCGTCGAATTTCCGAACATCACCCACCCTGCACAGTGGTTGGTTGGTTAAGTAAAGGACAAACAAAATCTATTCGCAGCGCTATTCTATCTCATCTTGTGGATACAGAACACAAGACTGATTGATGTTAACCAGGCGGATTTCAGGGCAATTTACCGCATACCTACGAACCTCAATTTCGCCTTAAGAGTTCCACTGCTAAATATTCCTGAGGCTGGCTGGCCAATGGGATCCATATTAACAAGCCTAATTTGTGCATCCAACCAAAAGAAGTTGGTTGGTTCAGACATTATCCTTACCGCTTGGCTATCCAGGTTTGAATGATCCTGAAGTTTAGTTGATATTCTATTTGCTACTATATCTTTATTATAATTATTGTTATTATAATTCAAGCATCTTATAAATGAACTGTGGTGATTCCATTGTGATCTTACTCTGCAAATCGATATTATTTAAAAAGGACACACTAATATTGTTATTGACTACTAATCTAGAATATTCTATGTATATAAACATGCATACATAGATAGAATTGTAGAGCCAGAGGAGGAGAAGGAATTTATCGAATAGGATATTCTTTGCTGGCTCAAATATTTTTGGTGTTTATGGAAAAGTGTAGAAAGTGGATTTTCATACAGTAGTAGTAAGAAAATAATGCATAAATCACTTACACGAGTAGTCTTAGCCGAAATACCACCCATCCAATCTGTGTTAAGATCGTTTTTTGAAGCAGACAACTTGTCTTCTTCTTCAAATTCTTCCAGTCTAGAAGGATCATCATCAGCATTATCACCATCAGTTTTAGACCTTTATATACAAAATAATCAGATTGTTATGAACGGTACATATCTGACATACACCTCAATTTCTGAAATATCTTCGGTTATAACTACTGATGACGATTTCTCTTCAGGTTTTTGAGGAATCTGTTTCTGCTTTTCGTCAGTTGAATTTCTAATAGGCAAATCAAATCAAAAGTGTGTGTGAGAGACTTACACTCCCAGTGACGCAAGTGAATTCATATAGTATAACACTGAACTCTGAAATGAAGAAAAAAGATTAAAACATTGATGATATATTATCCTTGTACACAAATTAAAACTTACTCAAAATGTAAAAATCGCTATCAAAAAGTAAAAACCTTTAGTTTTTGCAGAATGCATAGGCAGGTATTATTATTATTGTTTCCCTTAATTCCTAGAGGAACACAGGGCTTCAGCCGTGCGTCTCCATTGAGTTCGGTTCTCTGCTAGAGTCTTCACCTAGCTCCAAGTCTGCCCACAGGTTTTCATCACCTCTTCACATCACCTCCTCCAAGTCACTCACCCTCGCACTGACGACCAACTCGCCGCTTCCCTTCCGATCGGGTTCCACTCGAGCAATGGCTTGTCTAGTGATGTCACTCACTTGATGGTTTCCTCAGAGTATGGCCAGCCAATCCATCTCCATTTCTTCCTCCCTATTTGTTTCACAATCGGTTCCTGGTTGGTTCGCTCATTGCCAGAGATGGCTGTTGCTGATCTTTTCTGGCCGGCCATCTGATCTTGAGCGGAGTATTGGGCGAAGACAGCTGTTGATGAAGGTCTGTAGTTTGTTTGAGATGCTCTTTATGACGCGTAGTGCAAGCCTCTGATCCGTATAGTTGAAAATCTGGATCTTATTTTTGATGCTGAGTGCTGTTGACTTCCACACAGACTTGAGAGTAGTAGTGAAAGCTTGTCTTGCTTTTCCGATTCTTGCTTTGATATCCTCATCAGTTTCGCCTGTAGTTGAAACGATGCTTCCCAGGTAGGTAAAAGAGGTTGTGCTGGGGTGAAAATTAACCGAGATATAAACCCTAGAAACTCAAAATGCTCAGATCACACACAAACACGCATAATGTGTAGTCCTTCAATGAACGAAATATATTCCCATATATATATATATATATATATATATATATATATATATATATATATATATGTATATATATATATTGAGTCATAAGAAAAAGAGAACGTAAACAGCGAAGAAAATTTGTGCTTATTTTTCAACGATTCATTTTCATTCATACGCTGCCGCACAACAATAGTCGTAATTATATTAAATATTACAAAGAATTCATAAGACAACCGAGAAACGTATTACCTCATGCAAGGTGTAGTCTAGAAGGGGTGAATAATTGGAAATAACAGAAAGGAGGAGGCAGAAGTTGGCGTGACAGAATAAGTGTGAGAAAATGACTGTTTGATGTAATTGTGTAGAGTGGCCGAAAACTAGAGGAAAAAAGACAGTGTTTTTATATAAAATCTGTATGAAAATGCAATCTTACCAATAAACAGTAGTAGAGTGATAATGAAATAAGGATGATGAGAATAATTATAATAACAGTAATAACAGTAAACTTACATAATAAAAGGAAGCTAAGTTATAGCGAGAACGTTAGTGTGGTCGCGGTAGGGTGGCGAGTGAATTTATGTGGTGCTTTTGAATGCAGGGGTCTGCTTCCAGAGCTCGAATAGCCAATGATTCACCTTTGTACAGATAGTGTATTCGAAATAAGTCATTTCGTACGCTATTGAGGAACTCTGTGAAGATAGGGCTGCTAGTATTCTTCTTTTCTCTTCTGGCTAGCTAGCTAGCCAAGCTGGGTAGTGTTCCAGAATACATACGAACGAATTTACTTCGAATACATCATCCGTGATTTTATCAAATAAATTTATTCTAAAATGGAGTTTTGGCTTGCTGTCAGGAGGAATTAAAGGAGTCTTCACCTAGATGCATATCCGAAACAAAAAGACCTTGGGACCAGTCAAGGCTGTGATAATAAACTTGACAGTATGGTCAGCCAAGATTAGTTAAGGAAAACGACTTATCTGAACCTAGCTTGGTTTACCGTAGTGGTCTGCCTTAAGGTCATTCATCTACTTGCATAACTATTTTCAATTTCTGAACATAAACTTCCCAGTCATTTTATTGGACGCTTTTAACCTCAAAAGGCGGAAAATTTGTTACAAAATTTTGTTTTTTAGCTGCTTACTTCACTACTGGATGTGAGAAGATTTGGAATCCAATTAAAATATCCACCAAAGTTTTCACTTGACGGGGAATGTTCACTATTCTGGGTTTCACACATACTTTTGGACGAGTTGATGCCATCAGAGTCCTCATTTGGTACATTTCTAAATTTGTTATAATATTACAAGATAGAAAACTTACTGATTTTCAATATTTTTAAAAGAAACCTCAGTAGTGTCACTACAGGGTATCTCAGCTAGGTTGCTGTATTGTTACTAATAAGAACATAAGCTCATCTACTTACTTAACTAAGCTTGTAACACTTTTAAGGTATCCCTTGAACATATCCTGTAACAATATTTCTGATTAACTGTTTTGAATACAATTTACCATCGGATCAGGTGATATAGAGGAAACTACTGAATTTGGCGGTTTGGAATTAAATGATTCAACTACTTTCATTTACATTTCAAATAAGTGGAATGAAGTCCTTAAATCTTTGTAGTCCAGAGACTGAGGACTGAAAGTTGTGTCAGGTTTGCGCTGATGATTTCCTGCATTCAACTGTTTTTTTTATTTGTTGTCAAAACAAATTCCATGGGCTATGAAGCTGCTTAAGATAAAAAACCCTGAGATAGGCTAACCAGTGCAGTGATTAGGACTGCATCTTGATAACCATTGTGGCATAAACTTTAATACAGAAAACCATCTAAATGCTGTTTATGAACACTGGCTTTCACGTTCAGTTCGTTTCCCAATCGCAAAAAGGGATATCAGTCAAACAAATACCACACTCTTGCCAGTTAACGCATGTTCATGGAAAAATGACTCAGCCAAGGCTCTTTGACGGCATAAGAAAGCTTAAACGGATCAAAGTGGATTCAATAATTGGTTTTTGCCTAAAACTTAGCTGTGATCTAGACAACTTGCTTTTTTAAAGAATCGATTTGAATTACCTCTAAATGGTCTTGTCCTGCACCTGCTCCAAGAATGCTGCTTCACTCTTGAACCTTAGAAGTGCAATATGTAGGTTCTGATCGATAAAACTAACTGAATAATTTGCTGAAAAACAAAATGTTACTCTTTTTATATACAGTCGGGACTCAAACCGTTGTTGATGGGGCATTTAACTTGCCATTCATTTAGTGTTTTCATAGGTGAAGAAAAAGAGTGAACTACACCTATGAGTCGGAATTGTCGATTTTACCTCTGCGCTTGCAATTCCGAGTGAATGAAGGTCGATTTCAATCACATGGCTATCTCCTTCGGTGGCACAGCGGTTAGGATTCTCGCCTACCATGCACATCGTCCGGGGTTCGATCCCCTGCCGACTCACACTCGATATCAATGGTCGGCCTACAAAATTTGGGCTACCGATATCACATGCTGAAAATTCCATACTTGTACCACAAATACGGTGTGGAATCAAGCTAAAATAAAAAACGCAATTATATGCCCGTGTGAATTCACAAGCTACTGTCAAATATCCCCACATACTTAAGTTCTAGGGAAACTTTATATTCTCGCCAACTCGCCTAAAATAAACTGAGCCATGAACTGGTCATTATTTCGTTGGTGAAACAGAGAACATTTCGTTTGAATTAAAGTATAATTATATTTTAATGGTTTACACACAATGATGTTTTATTATTGGCAATATTTCGAGCAAAACTACTGCTCGTGTTCATAACACTGTTGGAATGGTTTTGTTCGCGGGCATTAATTTTGCTCGAAGTATTACCAATAACAAAACTTATCATTGTGCGTAAACCTTTGAAATATAATTACACTTTATCTGATCTATTCCACAATGCTCAAACTTTTTACTGACATTAATTTCGTTTGAAAAAACTATCGTTGAACTCAAAGGTGGGCGATATTAATATATTCCTAAAACTGCAGTGCTTTGTTTATCTAGGGAAATATTAACATGTTAAAACTGGGCAAAAAACAACTGAGTTAAAACGAAGTTTATCTATAATGAAAACTCATACTGATGAGACGTTAATCAGTCTCGTTTTTCCCCTTGAATGAAGAAACTTAGAAGTGAAACTTCAAACTCAGGACCGAAATCAACTGCTGAAGCTTGACACCAACTTAGACAGGATGACCGACATTAGGTAGAGGTTTGATCCTCATTAATATTTAATCTGGATATGTACCACGCACATAATTATTTTTAGTTTCATTTCTCGGTCTATTTCCCAACCTATCGGGTGGCATCCCGGTGAAAGGGATTTCCCATCATGCAAGGAAGAAGTGAGAGTTGGTCACTAGGACTACTTCTCTTGCCGGATTCCCGGAATTTGTGTGTAATAATGTAATATGTGTATGTGTAATTTATCGAATTGATGATGCCTGTAAACTGGCGTCCCTCATGTAAAAAATGAGAATATACTATTATTATGTGTCCTTCGCATTCTGATGCTATATCGAATAAACAGTTGCATTGAGGAAGCCTGGAATAAGAAACTCTACCATAATGCCAGAAACAGTAATTTGAAAAATGAGTTGTCCCAAAGATGCTGTCCGATGGGCGGAATAGGTAGTTCGGACCGCAAAGACCATTTTCATGGGATAGTAAGGGGTAACATGGAAAACATTAATACAAAACCTAGAATACCAAAGTCTAGAAATAAAGAAAAATGAATATAGTGCAGCAAAATGGGAAAGTAGCAACCTCCTAACAGGCAGCCAAGTACGATTAAAACGTATCTACTTGGTACGTGTACAACCTCTGAATTCTGTCGGTTACATCAGTTGCAGAAGCTATGAGGTGAATCTAGTCTTTGGGGTGAGCTAAGTGACACCTCATAGTCAATGTCATCAATCATCTGTCTGACTCAGTCGATATTATTATAGAACCCTGTGTCCGAAGTACTACTATCATTAGTGGGCAATATGACATTTTTCAACATACTGTGTTCGGAATCTCAACGAATTCATCATACACTAACTGATCATACAACAAATCTCACTGAGCAAGAAACGCCAGATAACTCACTGATAACAGCAGAAGTCAGCAGCAGGGGAAACATTTGATGTAAATCGTGGTGGAACTTGTATGTGGAAGGAGGGATAAAACAGTTTTTGGTAGAGACATCTTTTACTATAACTCCAACACATGCTTAGATACTGTCATACCACCTCAAACATATGCTCAGCTGCAATATCCTAAGTCCCAACCAACATGGATTCCTAAAATCCAGAGCATGCATGACATGTCACCTTGACTTCTTTAACTATATAACTAGCAGCCGAGACAAACAACAACTAGTACTAGTCATCTACTTCGGCATATCCAAAGCCTTTGACCGCGTTGACCATTTGCTTCTAATAAATAAGCTAAACTCCTTAGGAATACGTAACCCATTATTAGGATGGATTGAATCATTCCTTAACAATAGGTCCCAAGTAGTTAGACTGGGGTCTGTAAACTCTAAACCTAGTCCAGTCACTTCTGGAGTAGTTCAAGGTAGCGTCTTAGGCCCCCTCCTATTCACTCTATATGTCAACGACATATGCAGCTGTTTCCCACTTGGTAAACCATTCGTCTTTGCAGATGATCTTAAAGTAGCTTACACATTCCACTGTGATGACTTAGGATACTTTCAGAAATCTGTTCAGGAAGAACTAGATAGAGTAACTGCATGGTCCTCCACATGGAACCTTAAATTCAACCTTAAAAAATGTGCTTGGATCTGTTTCGGTGCACCCTCAATAAATATCAAACTAGTACTTTGATATATACATAGGTGACTCATCAATATTGATTGCGTCTGCATGATTTTTTATTTCCCACACGTGCATGATTATTGATTTTTTGCACTCGCATTTAATTACTGAATTCCCATGGTTTGTTAATATTTTTAAATGTGACACTGATTTTCCTAACTATATAAATACGGGGATTTTGTTTAACATTTCGACCGTTGTAGAGACAGTATAAGCTCTCGTATCAACGTCCAGTCTTCTTTCTTTGTATTGCGTGCCCGGCGGTATTGTTGTTGTTGTTGGCGTGCGATAAGGACAGATTAGCCAGCGCATTAAGTTAGATTCGCTCGTAGTCAACAAGGTCCTCATAATATCTCATACATAACATCCATTAACTTGCCTAAACTCCAAAGTGTTGCTGACCTAGGACTCAGGTACTCTCGTGACCCGACATTTTCTGAGCAAGTTGCGACACAGACACGTAAATCGAGGCTGCTCTTAGGATGCATACTCAGGAATTTCCACAACTACGAAGCGAAACTTGTATTATATAAAACTTGTGTCAGACCACTACTTGAATATTGTCCATTTATTCCCAGCAGCACTCGCTTAAGTGACAAACTTAAAGTAGAAAGCGTTCAACGAAACTTCACGTCTAAACTGCTAGGATTTGACTGCGAAATGGACTACACATCAAAGTGTATAACTCTAGGTATTGACCCACTCTGGATGAGACGACTCAGCATTAACCTGACATTCTTCTTTAAAGTCTTGCATAAAATATCATTCTCAGACAGCAAGGAGATACAGTTCTCACCGGAAGGCTCTTACAACCTTCGTAACCAAACGTGCACAGTATCTAGGAAAAACTGTAAGACAGCACTCCGTGCAAACTTCTTCATAGTCATGTACTCTAAGATCTGGAACAGTTTACCCCTAGAAATAAGGACCTGTCACTCTATTATAACCTTCAAACGCTTGCTATATAAACTTTTTCATCCCAATGACTATGCCAATCACACCGCACCACTTATTTCCAAAACGCATCAGCTATTAGAATACTATAACGCCTGGACTCATTACTAAATATTATGACACTAAATAAACTCTAAGACTTCTCAAAATTACATGAAAACACAACTAGAATATAGAAAATGTTTACTATATGGTTACATATATTTATAAACATTTATATATACATAAAAACATTAATGTTCTTTTCATGTTCACATACTTTCTCTTTCTAGGATTCTGTTGCTGAACCTACACTTCTATATACCTCCTGGTCTAGGTCGAACAACCCTACATTTAAACTGAAATGACCGTTTAAGTAAATTCACACTCAAATTCCATGAACGATCTGATGCTACCATTTGAAGACGCTGGTCAACATTCTGTACAAGGGGTATTCTTGATCTGAAATAAAGAAACAACTGGTTTTCAAACAGATTTCAATGTATTACTCAACTTACATGTACAGTGTGCCATGCTGACACGAATGGCGCCAATGGATAGTTCTGGAATAGACCCTGGCCCCATTTGATGCAGTAAAACAATCCAACATGACCTTATCTAGTTTTCGTATCCACAATCAAATTTCTTTCCTATTATAAAACTACGATTAGACTGCTGAAAAAATGGAATAAATACATCACTGACCTCAAAATAATACATCAATTAACTTTAACTCAAGGATGCCGTTCACAACAGAGTTATATAGGAGAATTGACTTCAAGCTTTATTTTTCCCAGATATTTGTATTACATTCATCTGATGTCTGGGTTTTTTGTTAATGCGAAGACAATATTTCTATATCTCTTTATGTGTTACATAGACAGACTATTTTGTAGACTGTTCCGACTGACTGGAATGTCAGAAAGAACAAACAAACTGTAAATTCAACATACATCGAAATATGTGTAATTTATATAATAACTTATTCATTCCTGTACAATTGGTATGTTCCTGCATAAACGGGAATAAATATATATATACTTTCCAGGGAAGTGATAAAGTATCTTCAGTGCATGTA